GCCCGCCGCAGCCTCCAGACGACCTTGTTTCTCCTGGAGTTGGGGGTGATGGGCGGAGGAGCACATGGACGGAGTGATATGTGGTGGGGGTGGGGGGAGACGGAGTCGGTAAGATCCGCCATTCTGACATTTAGCTTGCTACCATTGCAATGCCCCCCCTCGCCGGCACAGGGTTGCATCCCTACTTCCTCCACGACCAGGATTTCCCCCCCGCGCCCTCCGAGGGCAGGACCTAACGAGGGGACTCAGGCCTCGGCAAGACCACTAAGGATCTTCCCGCCCGTCTGAGGCGGATGCGTTTGAGACGGAGTTCCTTCTTCACCTCCTGCCTCCACGCGCGCCGTATTGCCAAAGAAGATGCCACTTCGAGCCCGTGTCCGCCCTCCCAAGCGAAAGATCGTTGGCATGGCCGCCCCGACTTGCGGCCATGTGTGCTGGGCTTGGGCGGCAGGCCATGATGTCCAATCAAATGCCTGCACGTAATTGGGCCAAAGAGGGAGGAGGGAGGGAGGGAGGGAGGGAGGGAGGGAGGAGGAGGAGGAGGAGCAGGAGGAGGAGGAGGACCAGTGGAAACCGAAGAATCATCAACGATGTTGGAAGAAACTCTCCTTCCAGGCCCCCTCGTCAAAAAAAGGCCCCATAGAGTGGTTCTTGGAAGACAACCGTTTGAAAACCCCGAAGCATGCCAAAGCATTGTTCTGGGGATTTCCTTGCCACGGATGTACCAGACTGTTGCGTCTTGACGATTTTGATTCGCGCCAGAAAATTCCACAGATCTTGACACAGCGAACCAACGTAAATGTTGCACCCTGATACTCCTGAATCCTTCCAACACGCTCTGTTTGGTACGCTGGTCATGGGGATCCTTGAAAGCTTTGCAGTTTTTTGCAAGGAATGTTCGCGGCACTAAGGCGAGAGCCACATTTTGAAAACAACCCGCCCTCAATCTGCGCAGCTCTTGCAATTAAAAAAAAAATGTGCGCGGCGCTAAAACCAGAGCCACATTTCGAAAACGAGCCGCCCTCAATCCGTGAACCGGTTGAAAGTTTTTGTGACGACTCTGCGCGGGGCTGAAGCGAGAGCCGCATTTCGAAAACGAACCGCCCTCAATCCGTGAACCTATTGTCAGTTGTCGAAGCGAATATGCGTGGCGCTAAGGCGAGAGCCACATTTTGAAAACCACCTGCCCTCAATCCGTGGAGCTTTTCCAAATTTTTGAAACGAATGTGCGCGGCGCTAAGGCGAGAACCACATTTTGGACCCCCCCCGCTCTCAATCCGTGAACCGGTTGAAAGTTTTTGAAACGAAAGTGTGCGGCGCTAGGGCGAAAACCACATTTTGAAAACCGCCCGCCCTCCACCCGTGAAGCTGTTACCACCTTCAAACATGAGGAAGACATCTCATGCGAAACGCCCGGCCCGCCCAAAAAACTAGCCCCGGGGTGCGACAGGGGAAGATTATGTAGAAGGAAACGGGATCGATGATGCTGATGATGATGATGATGATGATGATGATGATGATGATGATGATGGTGATGGTGATGGTGATGGTGATGGTGATGATGCTGAT